ATAGGGGAAAAAATGACGGACATATTAACCATAAAAATTATTAATAATAAATAATTATTAATAATTAATAATGTATGAAGTAAATACTTCTTTATTTTAAGCCATTTTTAATAGAGAGAAGATGTCTTTTTAAATTTTGTGTCCTATTGGCTTAAATATTTATTTAATTACATCAAAATTTGACGCGTTTCGACACAGTATTCTATATCCTCATCAGAAAAAAACAAAACAAGACAAACGATCAGGTTTTTTTGAAAAACAATTTGAAAAAAATTTTTTTGAAAAAAAATTTTTTACATAACCTCAAAAGGGTTTGTCAAAACTTCTTACAAAAAAGAAATCAAGAGAAGTCATACGGAAAATAAAAAATAATAATTAATTATTAACAAATAATTATTAATAAATAGTTATCATTATTAATTGTAAAAACTGTATGTATGCAACTTGTACTAATTGAGCTGCCGGATCAAAGAAGGGCACATAACTAATGTATTTTAAATGGGTTATGTGCCCTTCTTTGATCCGGCAGCTCAATTGTAAATTTTTTATAAACCAATTAATAATTAATTTTAATTAATAAGAATTAAATTTTTTGAAACATGAACTTTATAAATGACAAAATTTTTAGTTGATAAAATATTATTCGAGTGATAATCATTATTAAATAGAAATTAATTTAATGATAAATTTTATTCCTAGGAAATTTAATTTATCGGAATTACACAGGTCAACAGTCTTCTAATTAAAAAAATTTGATTCATATATCCAAGTTTGTCAAGAAAATTTCGTTTGACGGAGTTTATGTTTAATTGAATTTCATTTATCCAAATATTAAAAAAATAATTAAAAATATTTTCAAATTAGAAATATGTTGCTTTTAAACTACTATAACTAACGTAAAGTAATGTTAAAATACAGTAGAGCAATTTCTACTATACAATGTACAGCAATAATTTCTATACACTGTATAGTAAATTCTACAATATACGCAGTGTATACCAATCGTCACTATACAGTGTGTAATAAATTCTACTTTACAGTGTATATTAATCGTTACAATACAGTGTATAGTTAATTCTACTATATAGCATATCGCAATCTTTGCTATACGCTGTATAGTATATTTTGCAATACAATGTATAGAAGTCGTTACTATACAGTGTATAGTAAATTATACTATACACTGTACAGGAATGTCTTCTATACTGTTTCCACTATAACTTCATGCTTTATTAATAAAGAAATTTTCTATGAGGAATCTAAGTTTCCGTGAATTTTATTATTATTAATTATTATATTATTATAATTATTGATATCAATAATAATGTCAATAATTAATAATAATTACTTAAGAATTAAGGGACTGTTCAAAAAATAAGTAACGATTCTTTTTGGAAATTTCAACCCCCCCCCCCTGCCACAATGTAACAGTCAGTTACATACATTAGTGCCATTTTTTTGGCTTTCCGTAACAAATAATTAATAATAATAAACGTCACAAGGATTTTCAAATTTAGAAAACAAATAAATTTTTTTTAAATTTAAAATGTATTTTTTAAAAATTGCAGCAAGCTTGCAGCCACCTTTCCAGAAGCTTGTTGAAATACTCCTGCAACCTTACGTAGCAAGATTACAGCAATCTTTCACGGCAAGCTTGCCGCAATCATTCTTAGTATGAATACATATATAGGAATATATCAATCCTCCAAGTCAACAAAATAAAATTAAAATCCTTTTTTAACGTTTCGACGGTACAACCGCCCTCTTCAGAAACTGAAAATTTTATTATAATATTTAAATACAAATCGTTATTTTACATTTTTCTTTTTGTACGGTTAATTAAAATATAAAAGTATAAAAATTATTTACCGTAAAAACGAGTGTCAGAAAGATTTTGTTTACGTGACATTACATCGACGTCAACTGACAAACTAACTGGGAAACAACAGTCTTAGACGAAAAAGAAAAGCAAGTGTACATTTTTAGGTCAATGAACCCATGGTAGGTGTATATAAAGTAATAACATTTTGATACATTTGATAGTGAAGACTAGTTTCTGAAATTTGAATCAATATTACCATTTAAAATTTTGTAAGAGATATAATTAAAAATAAAGAAAATTTTTTAAAATGAATAAATAAAACCCTCTTCACCCTTATCATAACTTTTTTTCAATTTTTATTAGAAAAGAAATTAATATAGTTTTTATTTAAATTTTTAATATCATCTTTTTTGTTTAGTGGTTTCTTTTGTAACCCAATATGTATCATTTCAGAAATTAGCCTTTTTCGCCAAACCGGTTCATTGTCAAGAATCGAGATGTCATTCCAATCAAATTCATGATTACGTTCTTGTCTATGTAGAGCTATGACATTTGTCTTAGATTTTTTATGTTCCTCAATTCTCACTCCAAGCATTCTCTTTGACTCTCCCACATAACTCGCAAGACAATCCTTACATTTTAATTTATATACACAATTTGTTTTTTTAGTTTTTTTGGTTACGTCTTTGCCTTTTTTTACATAACTGTTATTATTGTTTATTTTCGGAATCGTTAAAATATTTAGATCTTGTAATAAATTAGATGTTTTGTAAAAAATATCTTCCGAAAAAGGTAAAACAATTTTTTTAGCACGACGATAGTGTATTTCCATGTTAGGTTTATTTTGGTTTGCATTAATAACATGGAGTCGTTTTTTAATATGTTTCTTAACAAAATTAAGGGGATAGCCATTTTCTAACAATAATCTTTTAACAATCTCAATATTTTTATCATGGAAAATAACATTAGAAAGTTTAATTGCCCTATCAATTAAATTATAAACAATAGCAATTTTTTGTGAAATCGGGTGATGAGATTGGAAATTTAAGAAGCGTCCTGAAAATGTAGGTTTAGTAAACCAGTCAGTAATTAAGATATTATTTTGTAGTACGTCAAGAAAGCTAATAGAATTATTGTTTTCAATCTCATATGTAAACTGTAAACGTTCATTATAGGAATTGAAAATCTCCAGAGTTTCATCAATTCCATCATCCGGGATACAAGTAAAGACATCATCCACGTAACGAAAAAAGAATATTGGTACATAAGATAACCTACTTAGACACATTTCTTCAAGATCACTCATAACAATATCCGCAAATAATCCCGAAATTGATGAGCCCATGGGGGTTCCATAAATTTGTTTATAATATTTGTCATTAAATTGGAAGTATCTTCCATTAAATTGGAAGTATTCTTAGTATGCTTGCAGCAATATTGTAGAAATCTTTCATGGCAAGATTGCACCAACATTTCCTGGAAAGCTTACAGCAAGCTTTCACGGCAAGCTTGCCCTGGGTGGGACATTTAGCTAGCTCAGACAAGCTTGCACAGTGAACTTGCCACAAGCTTGCTGCAAGTTTCCGTGCTATCTGGGATTTATCAAGATTATTCAAAATTCCGAGAAGACCTTCCTCTATTATTTCCAAAAAATTACAACCTAAAATATTCTATCTTTTTCAAATGAGAACAAATCTACAAAACCATTATTTTCTCCCGGATGCCCTTAAACAGGTATAATAAAATTTTTAATATTATAATATTTGTTTAAAAAGACATAAATGAAAAAATTTCAAAATGATTGGCACATTGAACAAAAAGATTGTTGAAATATAATAAAAGCGAAAAGAATTGATAAAAAAAAAGTTTGATGTTTTAAAACATTTTTTATGAGTTCTTTTTTTCATAAAAATAAGGTAAATGAATTTTTCTACAGCATATTCAGAAATTTTTCTACAATTTTTGATAAATAAAACAAGTTGTAAATTCAGATGTTCATTACATGAACATTTTGCTTCCTATTTACGATCAGCAAAAAAATTTACTTCCTCGTAGAAAAAGCAAAATTTTATTGCCAAAATGTGATTTTGATTTTTTAACTTTCATTAACTCTTTAAATTTCCCTCAAATGTATACTTTATACAGGGTGTTCCAAAAGTATGGAAACTTGCAAATATGTCTGAACATGTCTGAACGCAGAATTTTATGAGGATTACGAATTTGATATTCAAAATTAGTGGTCTCATTTAAGAAAACTACTTTTTTCATTGTAGGGCCCAACATTGGGCCCGGGGCCCAATTTTTTGATTTCAACAATGTAGATTCAACAATCGATTCGTCTTGACGTCAGGAATACGATTTTATTATATATAACCTTAAATTTTTCTATTTAAAAATTTTTTTAATTAAAAAAAAATTTTTGGAAAAAAGACGATAAAATTTTTTTGGGTTATTTTTTAAAATCCTTTGGTCAGATTTGAGATATTAATATGATAAATGAGCCTACTAAATTTTATCTAAATCCATTAAAACCTGTTAAAGTTATTTTCTAAACAAAAAAGGGATCCACACACACACACACACATACACATACACATACACACACACATACATACATCCGGACAATTGATCAGGATCTCATATACCATGTTTCTATAAAGAAAAAAATTTGTTTCCGCCACTTTGAAAAGTTTTATAAACGAAAGGACTACGAAGCTTCCTCCACGAGGAAGTAAAAAAGAATAGGAAATATTTTTTCAATAAATAAATTTATAATAAAATATTAATATAATAGAAATTTTCTTTTGACTAAATTATTATGTAAATAAAATTTTAAAAAAATAAATTTAGTTGAACCATTTATTTTCTCTAAATAAATAAATTTAAAAAATCATATTTTATTTATTCAAATTAATTAAAAATACTTTATACTCATCATAAAGTTTATTTTGTAAAATCCAGTGGAAACTAATATGAGCAAATTTAATCAATGCATCATTAAAAGATTTTTTTTCTAAATCATAGGAAAGAAATGTAATTTCAAGAGATAAATCTTTTGAAGTCTATTTTACACTATATCTTTGAAATATGATTGTTGTCAACGACAAATTTCTATTCTCATATTCGTTGACAAATAAAGCTGAAGGTTGAAAAAAGATATTTAATTAGTTATCTCTACCTGAAAACTGGGAATCAACTTCCTCGACATTTTTTTTTTTTATCAGAATTTTTTATTTTCACAAATTATAAGCACAAAATGTTGATGATGATGATGATGCGTCTCATTACGTTTCGGATCGAACCGATCCGAGTGAAGAACAGTCACACAGTGTTCTCTTTATTGCCCTTGCGAATCTACATGTGATTATATAGTGATTTGAACAAAAAAAAAAAAAAAAAAAAAAGAAGGAAATACTTTTAATAAAAAAAATCCACCAGTCATTTTAAAGAAAAAAAAATGTAGGTGAGCGAAATTTAACAAATTCTTTCAATTTCATAGAATTTATTGTGTGAAAAAAAATTATTATTTTTTTTTTGAAAATATAGACAATTTTCTCTCAATTCTAAATAAAAAGAGGAAAAAATTTTATCTAAATTTAAAATTTCATTTTATTCGAAAATATCAAATGAAAGTGGAAATTAGAAAAAAAAAATATCTAATTATTAAATGGATTCGCAAGGGCTCGAGAAATTGGTGCATCAATAATTTTGATATTTTTATTTTCGTAAATTAAGAAAATTTTAGTGATATTTAAAAATAAATAAAGAAAATTAGTAAAATTTAAAAGAAATATTTTTTTTATTACTACTGAAAAAATGACTAAAGGTGAGTGAAATATTTTTATCAATATTGTGTGGTTTTCACTTTTATAAAAAAAAAAAAATTATTTTTTATAATAATTTTACTGATATTAGTGAAAGAAAAATTTCTTATAAAACAAAATAATATAAACCTAGATAGAAATTTGTCATTCGTTTTTGAAATAATTTCGAAAATAATTGGAATAAATAAATATTGTTTCTTATTGTGGAAATTTAATTTTTTTCGAATTATTTAATAGAACCGTTTGACTAAGTTTTGAAATAAAATATTCAATGCAGAGTAATCTAATTGAAGGACACATGAGGTTGATTCACTATCAGAGAAATCAAATAATGTAATCGTAGTTCAAATCATTGTTAAGGCCATTCATCATAAAGAAATTTCTAATATCTATTTTCTCTATTTTTTTTTATCAAAATCCACTATTTAGAACCTACTAAAAAAAAAATAATAATAATAATAATTTAAAATTTTTTCAATTAGTAAACATAGTAAAATATCAAAACGAATTTTCTTTAAAATTTATTATTATAAAAAAGAAAATGTTAAAAGTTACTTTCAAACAGTAACTAAATTAAAAATTTCAAATTCGAATAAAATTTTGATTTCAATAAAAAATTTTCTTTGTAATTTTTTTTTCTTCGAATAAAAAATAGAAACTTGGAAAAATTTCTCTTATTATATGAAAAGGAAATAATGAAAAATAATCATAATCAAACTGTCTGGAAATGTTATAATTTAAAATAAACATTGTCTTTGAATTTCGATAAGATAAAAAGAAAAGTGAATATATATAGTATACATATAATACTTGGAGTTCATTAATCTTTGGAAGTTTAATAAATTGAAAAAAAAAGTTGTTTCAATTTGGTTTTTTTTTTTAAAGAAAAAAAAGAATGTATCTCATGTCAAAGTGTCCTGTGGATTTTGGTGTTTTGTGGTTTTGCAATGAATTATATGTTAAGGATCAATTTGAATCTCGCCATTGTTGCAATGGTTGTACCACATTCACATGCAGCAGCTGCCATCAAATGTGGATTTCCATTAGAGTATAATGAAACTCAAATTTCTCAAACTTTAACAACAATAACAACAACACAATCTTCCGAATATTTGGTAAACATTTTTTCGTACATTAACAGTTAGTTAAGTTATCAAAAATTTAAAAAAAAAATGTATTTTTGACAAATTTAGAAATTTTATTTTTTGAAAAAAATTTTAAAATCCACACGATTAATTGTTCAAAATCATTAAAAAAAAAAAAAGTGTAAAAAAAAATTGTCGATAAAAAATATTAAAAATTGTATAAAAAGTTTAATTTTAAACGAATTACCAGTGAAATTTCAAAATTTACATTGTTGTCAATTTTTTTTCCACCTTTTTTCGAACCTAGAATCATATTCCATTATGGAAAATTGAAAAATTAATTTTACATGCCACTTTTTTTTAGAAATTTTATTTTTTGGAAAAATTAAATTTTTTTTAAAATTTATACGATTGTTCAGAATTGATGAAAAAAGTGTTTAAAAAAAATTGTCGATGAAAAATATTAAAAATTGTGTAAAAAGTTTGAAAAAAATAAAAAACATTTTAATTTGTACTGTAAAATTATTAAAATAACAAAGAAAATTAAAGAAAATAAATAAAAATTATTGAAGAAAAACTAAAAATTGGAAAAAATTTGACCTTTTTGATCCATTTGACAAGAGATTGATTTTCTCAGTTTGAGGACAGGTTCAAATGGAATGAATATGAGCAAAGTTTGGCCCTTGGATCATATTATTGGCTCCATTGGTTGTCACAACTTCCTGGAGGTTTGCTGGCTCGTCGTTATGGTACAAAGATCATTTTTGGCTGGGCCAATTTACTCACAGCATTGATGGGATTAATGATTCCATTTGCAACCAATTATCATCTCTATGCTTTAGTATTTCTCCGAGTCATTCAAGGTTTCGTTGCTGTAAGTTTCACAAATTTTATTATATAATATACGTAATAAAATATATGGTAATAATAATAATAATAACAATAATAATAATAAAATATTATAATTAATTATTAAAAATTTACTATTTCTATTATTTTTTATAAATTATAAAAAGATCTTTTTTTAATAATTTATTTATTAATTAAACGCGCGCAAGCGCGGCAAATTGAGTGTTCAATTGTTTGTTATAAAGAAATTAAAGATTAATATTATCAATAATAATTTAATTTATTAGAATATTATTACATATTAAATGATAATAATGAAAATTATATGTTTACAGGCCTCGGATTATACGACTTTTTTCAAAAATACGACTTTTATCGACTTATTTTAATAAAATGCGAAATTTTTTTTTACATTTGAAAAAAAATGTAAATAAAATACATTCTTTTTAGTATAAAATGTAGATCTTCTTCAGATCTTCTTCAATTCAATTATTTAAAAAATTTTGAACTAAAATGATTCTTCACTAAATTAATTATTTTTAATAATTTTAATGAAATACATCACTAATTTAAATATATCAAAATTATTTTTCAATTAAAATTTTTATGAAATTTAACAATTGTTTATAATTTTAAAAAAAAATATCACAATAAAATTGAATTATTTTTTAAAAATTTCAATTAAAAATAAACTAAAATTCAATTATTACCCGAAATTTTAATTCAAAATCAATTAAAAATCCAATAATTATCTAAAATTTTCAATTTAAAATTTAATTATTTACCAAGTTTTCAATTTAAAATTAAATAAAATTCAATTATTTTCTAAAATTTCTATTCAAAATTAATTATCCAAATTTTCAATAAAAAATGAACTTAAATTAAATTATTATCCAAAATTTCAATTAAAATTCAATTATTTCCCAAAAATTTTCAATTTAAAATCAAATAAAATTTCTTTATTCTCAAAAATTTGAATTCAAAATTAATTGAATTTTCAATAATTTGAATTTAAAAGCATCTAAAATTTAATTATTTCTAAAATTTTCCATCGAAAATTTTTTTTTTTGAAATTTAATAATTTCAATTATAACTCTAAGGAAATTCAATTATTTTTAACTATTTTAATAATATTCTTTAAAAATTCAACTATCTGAAACCATTTTTCAATTAAAAATGATTTTCAAATTATTGTATTTTGTCCGCATTTTCTAATAAATTTTTAGTGAAATCATCTAAAATTTTAATTACAAAACACTTAAAGTTTCAATTAATTTCAAAAATCACAATTTTAAATCTTTGAAAATTCCATTAAATTTAAAAAAAGTTTTCCAAAAATTGTTTGATAAATTATTTTTAGTTCTGTAAAATTTAATAATTGTTTGAAAATTAACAATAACTTTTGAAATTTAATTATTTCTAAAAATTTCAACTTTAACCCTTCGAAAAGGATTATTAGTAAAAAAAATTTTTTTATTTAAAAATCTGTAAAATATTTTTGTTAAAATAAAAAACAAATCCACTTTTTTTTGGAATATAAATTGACTAAAACGACTTGATTCGAGGCCTGTGTTTTTATAATTAATATTTAATAGGTATTCGTTGGCCCCTGGTACCTTAAAAATTAATTGTTAAAAATAAATTTTTTTCAAATTACTATCTTGTACGAAATTTCCTGGCGCATTTTTTTTCTCATCATAAATTTTTTTTTTATTTGTATACAATTTTTGAATCAATATAAAACTTTAAAAAAAATTTCGTTGGTAAACGTTGTGTACTTTAGCTTCGTGAATTGAATTTTCGAATTTGGAATTTTAAAGAAACTTATTCCGAAATTTGGAAACACAATTATACAACTTTGGCAAAAATGAGAAAAAGAATTGTCAAAATTTGACACGTCATAAGATTACTATTCAAAAAAACACGTGAAATCAGAAAAGGCCAACTTCAAGTTAAGACAGAAAGACAGACCAAGCATTTTATTATTGTATAATTTTATAACTTACTTTATTAAATATTAAGAGAAGAAAATAATTTGAAAAATATTTTTTAAAACTATATTGTTAAAAAGGCCAAAATAATTATTATGCGTTAAAAAAAAATATTTTTCCTTTTTTGAACATAAAAGAAAGAAATTTTTATTTCTATTGCGCCCAGAATAATATTAATAATGATTATAGAGTAAATTTGTTTTCTGACAAGACAAAAAATTTATTTTCAGGGTGTAATTTGGCCTGCTATGCACGATATGACTGCCAGATGGATTCCACCTCATGAACGAAGTAAATTTGTCAGCAGTTATTTAGGTATAAGACAATTAAAAATTAAAAACGAATCTTAAGTATGTAACATTTATGATAAACGATTTTTAAAGAAATAATTTTTTAAATTGAAAAATTCTATAATTTTTTGCCGAAAAATATATTTTTTGTAGTTTTCATTAATCAACAAATTGTATAAAAAAAATATGTTTTAGACAAAAAATTATAGAATTTTTTAATTCAAAAAAATTATTTCTTTAAAAATCGTTTATCATAAACATTGCGTACTTGAGCTTTGTAATTAAAAAATATAACAGGCTGATAATAATTATTTATGTAATTAGAAAATTTACGATTTCAGGAAGTTCGGTGGGTGCTGCAATTACTTATCCCTTGTGTGCTTTAGTAATTACTTGGTTTAATTGGCAAGCTGCATTTTATGTAACTTCAATTCTTGGCATAATTTGGTAAATATATTGTATATCATACGTAATTTTTTTCCTATCAATTCGAATAATTTTTTAAAAAAGCAAATTTTTTTAAAATTAAAACCAGATTTTCAACATTAAAGATAAAATATTCATCTACTTAAAAAAATTGAATTTTAATAAAAAAAATAGCTTAAAAAAATAAAAAATACTGAAACAAATCAATTTTTTTAAATTCACGAAGTAAACTATATAAGGTATTAAATTAATTAATAATAATACTCCACAATTTACTGTTATCGTGGTCAAATACATTGAAATCAATTTTTTTCTTAAACCTTTTGAAAATTTACAACAATAAAAAAACAAAAGTAGAAATTAATATATTAAAAAAATGTTACGAAGGTTTGTCTTTTGGCATTTTTTGGTGTTTGATTCACCGTCTCAACATCCACGAATTTCGTCAAGGGAAAAATGTGACATTATCGAGAGTCTTCCTATATCGAATCGAGATGAAAAAGTTCCATGGAGAAGAATTTTATCTTCAGGACCTCTTTGGATTGCAATTATTGCTCAGTACGGTGGTACCTGGGGCTTTTTGACTTTCATGACACAAGCTCCATCATATTTTAATTACATTCACGGTTGGAACATTAATGCAGTAAATATCGATTTTTATTTATACATAACATATTAAAAAAAGAAAAAATTAGAAAAAATTGAAAAGAAAATAATTTCAACTGATACCTATATGAGGCAAAATTCCTGAAATGTCCGAACAAAAAATTAAAAGTTCTCGAATTTAATCCATACTTTTCTAAAATGTTGTTATTGTTGGTGAAAGTTTAAAAATCAATTATTATTGAATTTAATAAAATAGTTTTTCAATTACAACGTTTTTAATTTTTGACTTTTGAAAAAAAAAATTTTTTCAATGTACAATATTTATAAGTAGAATGCATAAAAGTTAACATATATATAATGATTTTTAAAGCTTTTTTGACGAGCTACACGCTGTTAATAAAATTTTTTTTTTTAAATAACATTTGACCTTGAAATTCAAGGTCAAAATGTTAATTTACCTTTATCTCAAAATCGGATTTTTTAAAATTATTTTTAACTATCTCAATGGAAAGCTTGACTAATTTCCTACAAAACATGTAATTTTCAGAGTGGGATCTTTTAAAGTTTTTGAGATATTAATTAATTAATTAATTAATGTTTATAACAAATGAAATATTTTACAAACGAATAAAGTTACCGTAATTCTGAAGTTAGTAATTGAAAGATAACGTAATTCCGCATCCAACGAGCCCTATATGAAGTATTTTGGATAAGTAGATTGTTAATAAACAATTGCAATCTTAACTAATTGTTTATTAACAATCTATTTATCCAAAATACTTCATATAGGGATCGTTGGATGCGGAATTACGTTAACTTTCAATTACTAACTTCAGAATTACGGTAACTTTATTCGTTTGTAAAATATTTGATTTGTTATAAACAATAATTAATTAATTAATTAATATCTCAAAAACTTTAAAAGATCCCACTCTGAAAATTACATGTTTTGTAGGAAATTAGTCAAGCTTTCCATTGAGATAGTTAAAAATAATTTTAAAAAATCCGATTTTGAGATAAACGTAAATTGACATTTTGACCTTGAATTTCAAGGTCAAATGTTATTTAAAAAAAAAAAAATTTATTAACAGCGTGTAGCCCGTCAAAAAAGCTTTAAATATCATTACATATATGTTAACTTTTATGCATTCTACTTATAAATATTGTACATTGAAAAAATTTTTTTTTCAAAAGTCAAAAATTAAAAACGTTGTAATTGAAAAACTATTTTATTAAATTCAATAATAATTGATTTTTAAACTTTCACCAACAATAACAACATTTTAGAAAAGTATGGATTAAATTCGAGAACTTTTAATTTTTTGTTCGAACATTTCAGGAATTTTGCCTCATATATTAAGCATTTCATATGAGAATACAGGGTCATGTCTCGGATTTTTCTTAAAATTCGGTAAATTGTAGTGATAGTGGTGTTAATAATAAGCATCCAACGAGGCCTATATGAACTATTTTGGATAAACGGGTGTTAAATTAATAATTAATAATAAAAATTATTTAAATAATTAATAATTTTTCAGTCTTCCTCAAAATAACATTTTATAATTAATTTTCGATTCCCAGTAATACTTAATATTCTTCTTTTCACGCAGAATTAGATAATCTTTTAAACAAAAAAAGAATTGACGGTTTATCTTCATTACTTCAAATGTTATTAATTATTTAAATAATTTTTATTAATAATTATTAATTTAACACCCGTTTAATGAATATGAAAACAAAGATGACGGTGCATACACAGACGTTGCTTGAATTGTTTAGTGCTCCAGTAAAAAGCTCCAATTCGAGCAAGTGGCCACTCAATGAACTGCGAATTAAATACACTAATTTACTACTTATTGCTTTATTTCTATTATTTCGGCGATAAGTTATACTAAATGAAAAGAACAGCGAGATTTCTTGTACCAAACAAAATCATTTTTTCAAAATTTTAAACAGAAATCATTTTTTATTTCAGAAAAAGTTTCAAACCACAAAAAAAATCTTTACAATCTTTACAACAAATAATTTTTTAAAAAACTTTTTTTCAATAATTTCCATTCTTTATTTAGGGGATACGACAAAGTATACTTAATTTAAAAAATCTAATATTCCTCCTTTTTTCATATTTGAAACCAAGAATAAAAATCTAAATTGCCGAGCGATTACACAGCCCCACAAAAAAAAAAAGTGTCATGTACTTTTGACCGGAATACCCTAACCCTATGTATTTTGACGCGCTGAACACGAATCCGAAGTCCGTTTTGCTCCATCACGTCAGGATTTTTTCTAACCTCAAAAAACATGTCGGATTTTGAGAAGTAGGCGATTTTTTTAAAAATTGATGTATTAACTTCAAACTTGGTATCTGGGGGTTTTTTGTGTCGCTGATTACGAATCTGAAGTTAGATTTTCAAAATCCAAAGTGGCGGATCCAATATGGCGGACGAATTTTGAAAAAAATTTAGGATTTACTTCAAACTTGGTATCTAGGGGTTTTTTGGGTCGCTGATTACGAATCTGATGTCAGATTTCCGAAATTCGATATGTCTGATTCAATATTAAGGAATTATTTTTAAAAAATTGTCAGATTATTATGAAATTTGGTATCTACAGGTTTTCTAAGTTGCTGACAAGTAACACTAGGGAAGTGCCATACGCCGATTGTTCTGAAACTTGGCAGTTTTGTAGTTTTTTGAAAACAATTTGACACGTATGTTTTGTTTTTCCCCAAAAGCTGTTTTATGGGGAGGAAATACCCCTTGAATTTTTTTTGGTAAGGGGACATTATTTTACGAAATTTTTCAAAAATTAATGTGCAATAGTGTATCTGGGGGTTTTTTGGGTCACTGATTACGAATCTGATGTCAGATTTCAAAAATTCAAAATGGCATATCCAACATGGACTTCTATCGGCCACATTAGATACGCCATTATCAATTTTTGAAAACTGACATCAGATTCGTAATCAGCGACCCAAAAAACCCCTAGATACCAAGTTTGAAGTAAATCTTAAAATTTTTTCAAAATTCCTCCGCCATATTGGATCCGCCATTTTTGAATTTGAAAATCTAACTTCAGATTCGTAATCAGCGACACAAAAAACCCCCAGATACCAAGTTTGAAGTTAATACGTCAATTTTTAAAAAAATCGCCTACTTCTCAAAATCCGACATGTTTTTTGAGGTTAGAAAAAAATCCTGACGTGATGGATCAAAACGGACTTCGGATTCGTGTTCAGCGCGTCAAAATACATAGGGTTAGGGTATTCCGGTCAAAAGTACATGACACTTTTTTTTTTTTGTGGGGCTGTGTTATTTAACAAATTCAAAAAATCCCAAAAATTTATCTTAACCTAACTCAGCATCCGCTGGACCAATCAAGAAGTGCCCCATACATTTTTTGTTCGAGACTTTTTGCTCAATTTTTTGGCATTATTCCCGAGACATTATCTCGCGAATTTAATTTTTCGGAAAATTTTCCAAATTTGTTTACTAGTGTAGCTCAGCATCCGCTAAACCAATCTAAAAGTGCGCCATACATTTTTTGTTCGAAACTTTTTCCCTATTTTATTGGCGGTATTCCGGAACGATTATCTCGCAAATTTAATTTTTCGAAAATTTTTCCAAATTTGTTTTCTAGTGTAGCTCAGCATCCGCTGGACCTATCAAAAAGTGCGCCATACATTTTTTGTTCGCTACTTTTTGCTAAAGACTTTGGCGGTATTCCCGAACAATTATCTAGAAATTTTAATTTTTCGAAATTTTTTCATAAATTTATTTGAGTGTAGTTCAGCATCCACTGGACCAATCTAAAAGTGCACCATACATTTTTTGTTCGAAACTTTTTCCCTATTTTTGTGGTGGTATTCCGGAACGATTGTCTCCCAAATTTAAGTTTTTGAAAATTTTTCCAAATTATTTTTGAGTGTGTCTCAGCATCCGCTGGACCAATCAAAAAGTGCGCCATACATTTTTAGTTCGGAACTTTTTGACTATTTTTTTGTCGGTATTCCCGAACGATTATCTCACAAATTTAATTTTTCGAAAATTTTTCCCACTTTTTTTGAGTGTAGCTCAGCATCCGCTGGACCAATCAAAAAGTGCGCCATACATTTTTTGTTCAGAACTTTCTTCTAATCACTATGGTGGTATTCCCGAAAGATTATCTCGCGAATTTAATTTTTCAAAAATTTTCCCGAATTTGTTTTCTAGTTTAGCTCAGCATCCGCTGGACCAATCAAAAAGTGCGCCATACATTTTTTGTTCCGAACTTTCTTCTAATCACTATGGCGGTATTCCCGAAAGATTATCTAGCGAATTTAATTTTTTGAAAATTTTTCTAAATTATTTTTGAGTGTAGCTCAGCATCCGCTGGACCAATCAAAAAGTTTGCCATACATTTTTTATTCAGAACTTTCTTCTAATCACTATGACGGTATTCCCGAAAGATTATCTCGCGAATTTAATTTTTCAAAAATTTTTCCGAATTTGTTTTCTAGTTTAGCTCAGCATCCGCTGGACCATTCAAAAAGTGCGCCATACATTTTTTGTTCAGAACTTTCTTCTAATCACTATGGCGGTATTCCCGAATAATTATCTCACAAGTTTAATTTTTCGAAAATTTTTCCCACTTTTTTTGAGTGTAGCTCAGCATCCGCTGGACCAATCAAAAAGTGCGCCATACATTTTTTGTTCAGAACTTTCTTCTAATCACTATGGTGGTATTCCCGAAAGATTATCTAGCGAATTTAATTTTTTGAAAATTTTTCTAAATTATTTTTGAGTGTAGCTCAGCATCCGCTGGACCAATCAAAAAGTTTGCCATACATTTTTTATTCAGAACTTTCTTCTAATCACTATGACGGTATTCCCGAAAGATTATCTCGCGAATTTAATTTTTCAAAAATTTTTCCGAATTTGTTTTCTAGTTTAGCTCAGCATCCGCTGGACCATTCAAAAAGTGCGCCATACATTTTTTGTTCAGAACTTTCTTCTAATCACTATGGCGGTATTCCCGAATAATTATCTCACAAGTTTA